TTGCCATGCTTCACCAAAACAGGTGTTTATAAACTTGTAGTTGCTGTAAATCATATGTAGGTGAAACTAGTTTAAAAATGTCCACACGATTTTTACAACACCAATAATAAATTCATGATGGGAAATGGAATATTTCTGGTGTATCAAACCATTACAAATTTTGTCAGGGAAATATTTACTGGACTGTCGTCAAAGTTTAGCATTAAGTTCTAATAAGTTTGAATAAAAATTTAGGGAAGCTTTGGAGATATAGCACTATCACACTAGCCCACACAACCCAATGCAAATGAATTCGAACAATGGTTAATATCTAAACACAGGTTTTTGGAAATCAATGAGGCATTTTATTCAAATTGAAAATTGATATCAATATGTTTTTTTTAACAAATTTTTTTAAACGTTTTATGTAAAATATTTAGTTTCATAGTCTGAGGTTACTTAATTGTGGTTATAACCCTCTCTCAACTCTATAACTCTGAAATATGAACCTTGACAAACAAGGCTGCTGCGCAAAGAAACTAGTTGAGCACAGTACTACCAGGGGCGTGGTGGGGATCAAACTTGGAACCTCTTGCTTTTGAAGCAAGTGCTCTACCACTACATCACTACTGTGTTATATATATATATATATATATATATATATATATATATATATATATATATATATATATATATATATATATATATATATATATATATATATATAAACACACACTTATATACATATATATATATATATATATATATATATATATATATATATATATATATATATATATATATATATATAAACACACACTTATATACATATATATATATATATATATATATATATATATATATATATATATGTGTGTGTGTGTGTGTGTGTGTGTGTGTGTGTGTGTGTGTGTGTGTGTGTGTGTGTGTATATATATATATATATATATATACATATATATATATATATATATATATATATATATATATATATATATATATATGTATATGTATATATATATATATATATTAGGGTATACTAGAAAAAAAATTTTGAATTTACAATTGTGCACTATACCAATCCTCCTTATTTGGTCCTAGTAGACCACCATACAAATATCTGGTCTCAAAGTCATTGTTAAGCTGAAGAAGGTGTTTTAGGAATGAAAAAATTAAAAATAAACTGCTTTCTGATTGGTTCAAGGCATAGGCAATTTACCACATAATAGAAAACTGTATAAGTTATACATTTCAACTCTTAACTCAAAACCCCCAAAAAATGACTTAGGCGATTGTGCTATAATTATGACGATATATTGTATACTGCTACTTAGTTCTAGTTTGAGTAAAATAGATTTTATTTCTTAATGACAATTTTTACACATATATAAGATATATATAAAAACATTGTCTATTTGTGATCAATTCTGTTGTATTTTATAATATAGAAAATAATATTAAATATGGCTAGTGCAGGGCATGTTAAGAAAGCCAGTGGAGGAAGAATTCTTTATCTGTTGGGGTACCCTCTCCAGGTATTTTTTCCAAATTGACTTCCAATCAGTGGGGAAGTTAGTCACAGAATTTTCTGGATTATCCAGAGTCATGCAACTGCAATCAAAACATTTTCATCCAAAATTGGATGTCCTCTAGGCAGCACAGGCTAGCTTAAATGCAGTGGTGGTGTGTGTATGTGAAATATCAAATGTGTGCATCATAAGGAAGCTGATTAACATTTTGGACAAGACAGACTTTAATGAAAATTTTATCATCAGTGGTCGATTAAGTCAGTGAAAAATCTTTTGTCATAAAAATATTCTGTGCAGTATATTTACATATAAGTTTTTATGCTATATTTTAAAATATTTTTTTTAATTGTTGTAACTTTTTAATTTAGGAATAAAATTGCTCTGTATACCTTCTGTATATTTAAGTTTTTTATTTTAAAATGTTGACATTTTTTAATTGTTGTGACTTTAACTTAGCATTAAAATTGCTCTATAAAATACCCAGTATATTTAATTTTTTAAAGATGAGAACCCTAGAGATGAGAGAAAGAAACCATGAGTCAACACTCAAGAGTTCTTAGACAAAGCCAATTTTTTGTTTTCTATAAAAAAGGAAGACATTTTAAAGTTAATTAGCTGTGATCCTAGAAGGAGTAAAAAGGCTGTAAAGTAGGATTCAATTTTTTTGAAGAGATATTTGAAAGGGGACATATTCAAGATAACATATTCAAGTCCAACAAAAATGACAAAACCTTTGCTGAAATAGTTGCTGAAGTTGAGGAAAGGATGAAAAACCTGCTGAGGAAGAAAAGTAAGGAGAGAGTAAAAGCAATTGTTGGGCAAAAAAATTACTGGAAAAAGCAGCAGAAGAAGAAGCTTTGAGAAAATTTGGAGCAGGAATTCTCTAGTGGGTGCAGTGATGATGCAGAGGAACAGATTATGATTCAGACTTTGAAACTGCAAAGAAAAAAAAGTTCTATGATTCAACCAAGGTTTGCCTTCAACTCAGTCTGAATGATGTGTTAGATAAGTAGATTCCATTTATGACAAGCTAAATAAGTTTATGTATAAAAAAGTGAAGTATATTACAAGTATATATAAAATTTCAAGTTAAAACAACCTAAATGTTACATAATTTAAAAAATGGCAATGCTATTTGTTTTTTTTTAGGTATCAAGTTAACAGAATTTTTTTTTTAGGTATTAAGTTTGAGAGCAGAAACAGTAATGTTGTCTTCCTTATTACAAGCTGGGGGAGTAGATATTGAAATGTTGAAAATTTTGTCGCAGATGGCAAGAGAGAAACATGAAATTATAAAGAATGAAGCACTTATAGTAGAATAGCAGGACCTGGCTAACATGGTTAAGGATAAAGGAGTTCAAAACTTGTTCTTCCTTTTAACACAAAGTTGGTCAAACAGTTCAAGACGGAGGTCAAGATTTCAGAAACAGCAGATAGGTTGGCAATAAGCATTTCCTCTCCAGAGACCAGCTTACTTGACTTTCTTCTGGGAATACTTGAAGTACCCTCCTCCAAAGTCTTGTGGAATATTATGACTTAACAGACCAGATCATAGCTTGTTGTGCTGTCACAACTCGCTAAAACACCGGAAAACATAATTTTGCAGTTAGAAATATTGCAGGTTACTCTTTAACTTGTCCAATCCTTTGACTAATGTGCAGATATGATACTTAACTATATAAATTACAATCATTTTTTTTCTTTTCATTTTTTCTCAGAGTAATGTCAAAAAATGATAATAATAATAAAAAATGATAATAATAATAAGTTTAGACTCCATATAATGGAACGACGTCTTCATCATGTTATGATTAAATTACAGGGAGATACAAAGGGACCCAGTTGATCCTTATACAAAAAGCATCAAAATCTTTGGCCTAAGATTGAAAAAGGTGTGATTGACCAACATTGAGAAATTTGATTAGAACAGAGTTTGTTCTTGGAACCCTCTTTAACAAACTTGCAAATGAAACAATGCAGTTCTGCACGACAACTCTTAAAACAAATATTTTTGACAGAAGTGATTACAACTATTTATGTCAACTGGTAGCTTTTTTATTGAATTTTAGGTTTCTACAACCAGCTGCACATCACAAAGCAAGATTTATGGCTGCTTCATTGAGATAATACAGGATGCAACAGATCATATAGTGATCTTTTACTATTTATTCTTTTTGAAGAGCCTAATGGCAGCTCAGGTTCCTTCTAATGATCTTCGAGCATTCAAGATTTCATCGCAGATCATGATAGATCCACTTTACAACAAGAAGTATGGAAAGATTGGCAAAGCTCTTAATCTTAGAATTCCCATGTGACATGTGGTATTTTACGCCACAGTGTTTTAGGTGAGCAGCACTTAGAGGAGAAAGAGATGATGGATTTTCTTGTAGAATTGTTGAAATATGATGTTCCAGAGATAAAGAGCTTTGACAAAGAATAAACAGAACCTTTTTTACAAGTCTGTCTCTTCACAAAGCTATCAGACTTTGTTTCTCAGGAGTCTTATCTCTTTTTTCTTCATCTTGGTATAACAAAAGATGACATTCTCTCATGGAAAGAAGAAGGAATGTTGCACCACCTAATTTTTTTGTGTATTCCGTAGTGTTTCATTTAAAAAACATTTTAAAACAATCCAATCATAATAAAGAATAAAATAATTATAAGGTTATAATTATTAATTATATATTAAGGTTATTATTATTAAAGACGTCTTTTTAACGTTCAAAAGATGTAAAATAATTATAAGGTTAATTATATAACTTTTTTAAAGTTATAGTAAGTATAGCAGTCAGAGAATCGGATGAATAACTTTAAGTTAATTTGATTATTTTATAAAAATATTAAATACTGCTGTAATTTCAATCAATAAATGAAAAAAAAGCTAGTTAAAATTAATATGCAAGTTTTTTCTGAAACACCTTCTTCACCTAAAAAGTGACTTTGAGCCCAGATATTTTTATGGTGGTCAACTGGGACCAAATAAAGATAATTGAAATAGTACACAATATTAAATATATATTTAGTATATTTAGTATATTTAGTATATTTAGTATATTTAGTATATATATATATATATATATATATATATATATATATATATATATATATATATATATATATATATATATATATATATATATATACATACATACATACATATGTATGTATGTATGTATATATATATATGTATACATACATATGTATGTATGTATGTATGTATATATATATATATATATATACATACATACATACACACACAGTGCTCAAAGTGAAGCGGGATGCCATCCTGTCACCTTTAAATAAAGTATAAACCATCCCGCCACCTTTTTATAAATTTCTAAATATAACAATGATTAGGCGGAATAGTATTTTTAATACCATCCCATTACCTTTTTTTCTCTATATGTGTGTGTTTGTGTTTGTATTTTATTCTTATAATATTGTTTTATATATTAAAAATTTTTATTATGAATAAGCAAAAAATTTATTTAGATGCATGTGTTAGACGACTTGCTTGCCATGCATTAGAGTCTTCATGGGTTGCTGCATCTTTTCATGGCAATAATGAAGTTTCTATGTGGGATTTAGAAACTGCTGCTAAAAGACAAACATTATGGGCAAGCCAATATCCTCCTTTATCTCATTCACAGGTTTGTTCATTTTACATGACAGTATATTTGACATGACAGTATATTTGACAGTACCTTTACAGTAACCTAACTATGGATTTATTCCTTATATTATGTAAAAAATATGTAGTTTTTTTTTATTGTAAAATTCAATTTTTTTTTACTTGAATTTAAATTTTGAGTATAAAGTTACTTTTTTCAAAAGTTGTTTTAAAAACAAATTATACTAATCTCAAACAAATTTGTCTCTGTTTTTATGACTAGGCAACTCATTTAACTTCCTTAGTCTTGTTTACTGGCATGCTGTAAAGCTGCATATGTTATCCCTATTTTCATAAATTATGGAGAGGGATTTGACTTGCTAATTTACTAACCCATTAGTCTTCTTCCTATCATAAGCAAGGTTTTTGAATCTTTAATTAACAAACACTTAATCTCTCATCTTGAATCTAATAACTTAATCTCTTATCTTGAATCTAATAACTTAATTTCTGATCATTAATATGGATTTTGATCTTCTTGTTCTACAGCTGATTTGCTAACAGTAAAAACCGATAGGTTTTATCGTGCATTAGATAAAGGTGGAGAGGTTAATGCCATTGCTCTTGACATTTCTAAAGCGTTTGATAAAGTTTGGCATGCTGGTCTTCTCCATAAGCTTTCTTCTTACGGTGTATCTAGAAACATCTTTAAGATTACTGAATCCTTCATTTCTAATTGTAGTATAAAAGTTGTCCTTGATGGACAGCACTCTTCTTCTTATTCTGTAGCGTCAGGGGTTCCTCAAGGTTCAATCCTTGGCCCTATACTCTTTTTAATTTACATTAACAATCTTCCAGATATTCTCACATCTAAGGTGGCATTGTTTGCTGATGATACTACCATTTTTTCTTGTCACGATAAGAAGCCAACTCCTTCTGATTGCTTGCAGAGGGCATCTGAGCTTGAAAAATATCTCACTTCTGCTACAGCATGGGGCTCACAGTGGCAGGTGAAACCTTAATTCAGATAAAGTTCAATTTTATCTGAATCTTTAGTAATAACTGTAATAGGTTTTATCGCGCATTAGATAAAGCTAACAGTAATGACGATGCATTTAAGTAATAATTGGTAGGGTGTATTGTGCATTAGATAGAGTTGGCAATGTAAAGGTTATGGCTCTTGACATTTCTAAAGCTTTTGATAAAGTTTTGCATGCTGGTCTTCTCCATAAGCTTTCTTTTTAGGATGTATCTGGTAATATCTTTAAGATTATTGAATCCTTTCTTTCCAAATGTAGTATGAAAGTTGTCCTCATTGGACAGCACTCATCTTTATATCCTGTACAGGGATTCCTCAAGGTTCTAATCTTGGTTCTAAACTTTTTTTAATTTAGATTAACCATCTTTCACATATTCTCACATCTAAGGTGGCATTGTTCCCTGATAATACTACCATTTATTCTTGTTTTGATAAGAAGCCAATACTCCCTAATTGCTTGGAAGCGGCATTTGAGCTTGAAAAGGATCTCATTTCTGCTACAACATGGGGCTCACAGTGGCTGCTGAACTTTAATTCAGATAAAACCCAATTTTTTTCAGCCAATCGTTATCGCAATATTTTAAATCTTATATTTATGAACAGTAATGTACTCAATGAGTCATCCCTCATGTACTCAATAAGTCATACTCTTCATTTTCTAGAATTAATTCTTATTTCGGATCTGTTGATCTAGGATTAATTCTTACTTTGGATCTTTCTTACTTCGGATCTTGGAAATCATATATCAAATCCATTGCAAAATTAGCATCTACTAAAGTTGCATCTCTTTATTGCACTTGACACTTTCTTTCTATTCTTTATCTCTATAAATCTCAAATCTGTCCTTGATTGGAATACTGTTGCCATATCTGGGGCGGATCTTCCAATGATGCCCTTTCTCTTTTAGACAAGATGCAAAAATGCATTGTAAACATGGTTAGGCTCTTGCAGCCAACCTCCAATCATTATAACATTGTCGTAATGTCTCTTTTCTACAAATATTATAACGGGCACTTCTCTAAAGAGCTAGTGTCTCTTGCATCATCTACTAAAATTCATTTTCATGTTACGCGTCATTTAATCAAGTCTCATCATTTTCTGTGACTATTTCTAATTTGCTCCAAAAATTTTTATTTGCCTACTTTTTTTCCTTGAACATCAGTTCTTTGAAATTCGCTTCCTTCATCTTGCTTTCCTGATTCATATAATTTTCAATCTTTTAAATCATCTATCAATTGTTATCTTGCTCTATAAACTTCATCTTTTCTCTTCCAGTAACTTCCAACTCTAAAAGTGGTTGCTTGCAGCCTTTTTGGAAGCGAAGATGTCAAAAAAAAAAAATATCCATAATAGAGTACAGTTTATCGTTTTAAGTTTTAATATACACTTAATATGTTTTTTAAAATGACACAAGGCACAAATAAGACTCAAGAATTGTAACAGTAACCTGTTGTTAAAGAGGAACAATGGTTAGTAACGTAATTAAACCTGCGTCTTTACTGTTAAATTTTCTTTATTTATAGTGATAGTGTATTCAATAGCTCAATGTATTGTATTGTCTAAAAATTATTTAAACTTTAAGCATTTAAAGTCCTATTGGTTCCTGATGTGAAAAATATAATTAAAGTTCTTGAAAGAGTTATTAAGTTTCTTTTAATTTTTTTTTAATTACCACATTAAGTTCCTTTTAATAAAGTGTCCAAACTAATGCAAGCTTCCATTGTGTTAAGAAAGAAAATTATTTTAGATACTAATGAAAGCTTCAATTGTGTTCAGAAATTGTTTCAGATAGAAATCTAGTTTATCAGTAATTAAAATTTGCAGTTATGAAATTTTTACTCAGGCAGTAACCCATTTTTGGTTTTCTTGGGGAACCTGAATAGAATTCAATTTGAATTGTTTTTGTAAATATGTTGCACAAAAACCAAAATAATTTTTATTGCTCTTACATATAATGATTGTGAGATTGTGGTCGTGAGATTGTGATTGTGAGATTGTGGTTGTGAGATTGTGATTGTAGTTGTGATTGTGTGATTGTGGTTGTGAGATTGTGGTTGTGAGATTGTGATTGTAGTTGTGATTGTGAGATTGTGATTGTGAGATTGTGGTTGTGAGATTGCGATTGTAGTTGTGATTGTGAGATTGTGGTTGTGAGATTGTTACTGTGAAGTTGTGATTGTGAGATTGTGGTTGTGAGATTGTTACTGTGAAATTGTGATTGTGAGATTGTGATTGTAGTTGTGATTGCGTGATTGTAAGATTATAATTTTAATTGTGTGGTTGTGATTGTGAGATTGTAATTTTTACTGTGTAGTTGTGATTGTGAAGTTGTAATTATAATTGTGTGATTGTGATTGTGTGATTGTAATTGTGATTGTGTGATTGTTATTGTGAGATAGTGATTGTATGGTTGTAATTGTGATATATGATTGTGTTACATTTATAATTTAGATTATTTTTCACATCTAAAAAGTGTCAAAAGATATGTTTAAATTCTTTTTCTTAGGTATCAAATGACACTGTTCTTACAATGCGTTCTATGCATCAAGGTTCAAAAACATTTTTCATTACTGCAGGAACAGATAAACGAATACGATATTGGGATTTGCGAGAGCCAGAGCAATCTGGGATTATAGTTGGATCAGCAACTGATAACCTTGATAATGTTCAACTGATATACAAGTAATTTTTTTTTTATTAACATTTAGTTTTTATGATTATTTATCTAAGTCAAATTGACTTTAGACTTCTTAATAAATTGTATTTGTTGTATATGCAATTACAAAAACACATAAGTTAAAAAAGAAGTCCTTTAAATTTTTAAAACACCAAAAAAAGGCTTTAATTTAATTAATCAATTGTTTGCCCAAGCCAAAACTTTTGGCCAATGTATAATCACTCACTGTGTCTATGGCTAAATAAATCAGTTAATGTATGTACACTCCTCTGAACCTATTTTTTTTTTTTTTTAAGTTGAATATGTTTGGTTAAACACTTGCATGGTTAAAACAGGTTTTCATAATGGTTTTTTTTGTGTTTGTATGTCATGAAATATCCTATACATTATCCTTTTTGTTTTTAAACGTCAGGAATATTTATGAAATACTAACACTTGGAAGAAAACCATCCAAGGTTTATTAGTTTTTACTAACCTTACACACAATTATATGAGGGGGAGGGTGTTTATATTAGAGTTTTCCTTTTTCTAAACCAGTTAAACCAGTTGCCTTCACAATAAATAAACTGACAAATAATTGATTCTGCTGTAACGGGATTCAACTTGCCTAATTGTTTGCAAAAAACATATTGAAAAAAATGAATCTCAAATTTAGTTTTATCTATTGATAAAAAATAGCAAAGTATAATTAAAAAAAATTTGGAAGGATTTTTTTTTAATCAATAATATGACAATAATATGACTTTAATCAATAATATGACAATAAAATGACCTTATACCTATTGATAAATAAGCTATTTATACCTATTATGACTACCTTATACTTGGCTTTCAGATGATGAGGTTGTATGTTATATATGTTAGTCATGTGATAGTTGTCTGTTTTGTAAATTAATCAGTTAATATTTGGTGTAACTTAATTGTCATCTAACTTTTTAGTTTGACTAAAAAAGAAAATACAAGTTTATATTGTATTTTCAATGTGAGATCTTTTTTATATGCAAAAGAAAAACTATCCACGAACTTAAAGAGAATCAAACAATATATGTTGACCCTGATTCCACATATAACGATTGCTTTTACCAGCTCCAGAATGAGAAAAGCTGTTCCTTGCTGTTTTAATTAAATGAGGGACATCAGAAATAAAATAAATAAACCTTTTATTGTCATCATCAGCAAATAAATTATCAGTGCAGTAAGTCACATCAACTTGACCATTATTATCTTCTTTCTCAGTCAGATTAAAATACATTTTAAAAAATTTTCTATTTGATGATGCTCCATCACAAGTAACTGCTACTACTTTTAAACCAACTGAGATTTCTAAAATGCCTACAGCTTTCCAAAATAGAGAAAATAATTGTACAGATGTAATATTTATTGTTGCAAAGTTTGTAAAACTGTATTAGAAAGGGTTTACTTTTTATTAAGAAAACTAATACACGAGAAGCAAGTTTGTCAGCCTGTTGTAATGTTGCAAAATTAACAACAGGATTGCCCAAATCAACATAACCAATTACTTCTCCAGAATATTTGTCCCACACAAGATTTTCTTGAATTTTCATTTCATCAAGAACTTGGACAATAAACTTTTTTTGAGCTGACTTTATCTTTTAATTCTTTCATTATATTTTTATTAAATCCTAATTTTGGTTTCACATAATTTTTATAGTCTCGCAATCGCCTACGACTTGATAAAACTAAGAAACCAGAATTGTTTTTCTCATTTAATTGTACTGCTTCATAAGCAGCTGGTGGTTTTGCAGCTAATTCCAAACAGAAACGTATTATTGCTGGATGATAGCGAATCCCTTGCTTTGAGCTTTTTCAATATTTTTTCTGCTCTTCCCAAAACAGGCTCATAAATGGAGAAATCATGCTTTTATCAGCTCTTGTCTTGATTTGAACTAAATCACTTTCAATACCTTTACTTATAGATGAATTTTCAATCCCCTGCTTTATGAAAGCTAATTCCTTTTTTAATTATTTATTTTCCAGACGAACACTCTGTAATGTAAGCTTCAGACGATTTGGAGAATTTAATTGGTGCATTTAATTTAGCAGGTATACAAGCATTGGCAAGATTTTTTTTCAAACTTATGATTCCTTTTTTCCATGCTTTTGCATTGAGAACAGCATAAAACTAATTCAATAAGTATAATACATGACTCAGATCGAAAATACTCTGTTTGCTTTAAAGGAAACTTATTATTAGATTAAAATAAATCAAACTTTTTTGAAATACAATGTTTAATATGCAGATTTGACTTTAATGCGAATACATCAGTTATTCCACAACACAGGCTAAACGAAGTAACAACAGAAATAAGATTTGAAGTTGAAATATGTCGCATTGATCTTTTATATTTTGTATATATTAAATGATCATCTGGATTAAGCCAAGAATATACACGAATGGTAAAAACAAGACTATCATCAACATATATTTCATATCGAGGACATAATGGATTGTGTCATAAAGTTTCAATTCTGCCACAATAGTACTCACACTCACTGTCCAATCACAAATCTTTAACTTACTAATACAATTTAGGAACTCTTCGTATGATTTATATATATGTTTAAAAGTAATAATACTATTTGAAATCAATGAAGCATTTCTTTTAGCAACAATTGAAGATGCAGATTCCCTTTGTATAGGTATTGATGACATAAAAAAATTTTTTAGTAGACACATAGTCGGTAATGATCCAGGTTTTAGTGACTTTCTGTTATCGTTATGAAGTATCTTTCTGGAAGCTTTTCACAAATAAACAGGCTCTTACTTTCTATTTGAGCCTTTAAATTTATATCTTGAATACGATCTTTAAGAATAATGGCTATTAGATTTTTTCTCCAAGAAGTATTAAAACTATCGTTAAATGCAGGAATTTTAAATATTGAAACTCCCTTATGCCTCCTAGAAGTACTGCATCCAAAAAGAACAATTAGCACCAGGCATTTAAAGAATTGGATCAAGAAGATGCAATTAAAACAAGTAGTTCATAGAAAAACAGTCGAATAAAATAATATTTGTGCACTCTGCGGCGGACTGGACACTAAAAAATCGCTAAGAAAGAGTTGATCAAAGAAATACTGCAAGTGCCCAGACTATCTATTTCTTATGACTATGATCAAATCAAACTAATTATATTTAACTTAGATTGTATCAAATCAAACCAAAAAACATCAAAAACTGAAAATATTCTTTTTTTTTTTTCTTTTTTTTTGTCGAAATGATTTTGCTTATGGGATAGAAGTGGAGTTTCCAATTTTTAACTTTTTTTTGAAACTTTTACTTTATTATTAGTTAAAAAAAAATCTGACAAATTCATAAATTTATATAAAAAAGAACCATTTTGAATTTTTTCAAACTGGTTCCCTTCTACGCAATCATTACGGCTTTTCTTATATCTGCTAGAGAGGCTAGGTTCTGTTTAGAAACTCCAGCTTCCTTTTGTACCCAACATAATTTAAAAGGGTTTGAATTAGGTAAATTCCCTATCACAAGGAAAGTACATTAATTGCATATTCTTGGAGCCATAACCTAACAATTAAACAATTAGTTTTTTAAAATTTTGAAATAGTTAGCGAAATCAACAGTCTCACCTTACAAGTAGTATATAAATCAACACGATCGTTAGCAGTGATTGCATCCGATATCCTAATTTATGGATATTCTTTAACAGATGTCTAACGAAACGGGGATTGGAGTGTGAGTTTGATGGCCGGCGAACATTGGTTTGTGTGTTGCAAACACTACAGACGAGGAGTAGCCTCCTCGTCTGTAGTGGCCTTCTCGGCCTTGAGAAGGTGAATTAAAATAAAAAAAAAAAAAAAGACGGTTTAACTGTAAACATTCGCTTCGTTTGAGAAAATAACGCGTCTCCACGTTTTAACATCCTTGTGTATTTTCAAAATTTGAGACGATTGCGAATACTTTTTTAAGAAGCTTTAATTTAGCGCGCTTTAATGCAAACGTGGTATAATAGAAGAATAAGGTCCCTAGTGATGTGAACTGTGCGGGACCAAAGGCAATAACATTTACATTAGGCAGTTTAGTTTGCGAACTTATATTGTAATATGTGTTTGTCCTTTACATCTAAATGACCTATCATGTTTTTGGTATTTTGAGTGTTAATTTTTGGTCTTTCACAGGATTTTTCTAGATTGATGTCATCTGTTGATGATATCAATCTAGAAAAGTACAATAAGTTGTTGAGAACCAAAAACGTCTTAAAAAGCAGACTAAGTGTGATATTTTTATGTTAATATAGTATTTTGTAAAACTATTTTTTTTTATATAATCTTCCCGTACGCTATTTCGTTTTCAGTTTTCCTTTCAGCCCTATTCGTAGCTTATTTATTCTATCAATTTTCCTTCTTGACTTCTGGTTATAGGTTAGGGGGTTACACCTTAACGCCTGAACTGAAAGTATGTTTTCTTATACTAACGGGAAAAATTTTTTTTTTTTAAATTATCTTATTTTATGTTTAGCAATCGAATGATTGATGGAACTGAGGTTATCTACGAGACATATGAAAAGCGTCGCCTAAACTATGAAGATCGTCCTCGTAAAGATGAAGCATCTATTGGCCATCATGATTGCATAACAGACATTGCAACAACTAAATCTCCTCAAAACTTTCTTATTACATCTTCTATGAATGGCGTTATAAAAGTATGGAAGTAGTTTTTTCGTTTTTACCTCGAACTTAGGTACAACTACGCGATCTTAGGTGCGCAATTTAAAATTGCGTATATGTGTATTATAATCTTGCACCGTATACGTCTGCGAGCGTATATTAAAATGTTAAAACCGCTTCCTCGATACATCTAAAATTGGTGACTAATATTGGAAATTTATGATAAAGATTGGAATCTAATCTTCAAGATATTGTTTTGTAGGCAATTATACGCAACAAAATTAAACTTTAAAGGTTTAACCTAATTTTTTTTTTTATTTTTTTTTTTATACCTAGGATAAATAATAGCTATTATATTTTTCAAACTCTTACCCTTATAATCGTGATATATTATAGATTGTTTTTTTATAATTTGTTTTTATTTTTTTACTTTAAATACTATTTATTCTAAAGTTTTGCGTTTTCATTAAAATAAAATACATTGTAACTGAAGTATTTAGTACAAGTTTTTAGCGTTTTCTACAGTTTCATATTAAAAAAATGAAACCTATAAAAATGAATATTTTAGAAAAAGTAAATTTCAGTTTTTTCATCTAAATGCGCCATTATGTTTTTTAGGAATAGAAATAAAATAAAAAAACAATTGTCCAATACATCTAGTTTTTTTTTTAAAACGTAAATTATTGTAATCCGCGACTTAATAAAACGTTTCATTGGGGTTTCATTACTAGTGTTATGGTATTATGAACATATACTAATGTTGAGAAGTTTGTCTTAAACCAGTCTGTTTTTTTAGCCCACTCTAAGACGAGTTGAACCGAAAATACAAAAAATACAAGGTAAAGGTCGCTTTTTTTGGACTAAGCTTTATTCTTGTTTGTAGTTGCTCACGTCTTTTGCTCAAAAGTCTAGATTGAGCGACACTCCGGTACGGCTGGCGTATCGTCATCTTTTTTAACAAATTAATCTTATCATCGATTTATCAATAATACTGTTTTGTTTTTGTTTGATTTTTTTGGCCAAAAAGATATCATCGCATTCGTTTACAGTTGTGGCGTAATGCGATGAAGACAGGACCACCTAAAATACATAACTACCATCGGCATAATGCGTGTTGATGAATTAATCTTCCCCTGGTATAATCAATTTTGTTGATGGCATTGTTGAAAGCAAGGTCCGCTAGGAACAAAAAGTGGCTAAGAAATATAATAATAAATAGTCAGAAAACGCCAGCCAGACAAATGTCGTTGCACAGTGGGACAAAATCGAATTTTTTGTGCCAAAATTATTTTTGGGAGTTTTTTTTTTATTAGAATAGCTATATATATATATAAAATGCATGAATAAAGTAATAAACATGTAATTTTATAATACTGAAAAAAAATTAAATTTTGGTGAAAAATACGAAATATTTTAAATGGACAACTTTTATCAGTGTAAACAGCAAAAATATAACTTTTCAATACATGTATTTGTCATAAAATAACTTTTTTAGATTTAAATTTACAGAACTTATATTTTATAACAGTAATGAAAGATTTTGTAGATATTCTTTGTGTACGAAACATCTTTTTTACACCTTCAGTATTTCTTATCAGGGCCGACGGTACCGTTTTTGGCGTTAGAAATACCTAACCTCCAGACATTGTGCAAACTCTAAACATTTATATGTTTATACTTATGTCAAGTAAAGATGTTTTTGCAAAAAATTCCAATGATTGGAGCCTAGGAACAAAAAAACCCCATAACCTGTACCCCCCTGCCCCAAACGTGAGAGCAACAAGTTGATAAAATATTTTATGTACTATTCTTAACTATTCATCGATAAATTTGAAGCTTTATAGTATAATTTCTTGTCGTTCAAAAATTATGTCCATATAAAATTTGTAACCCCCTTAAATTGAGGTGGTTAAAACTTTATAATGTCATAATTTTTGAACGCTAAAATATTTTACTATGAAATTAAAAAATTATCGATTAATATTAGACTAGTTAAGAATAGTTCAAAAAATATTTTATCAACTGGTTGCTCTCAAGTTTGGGGCTGGGGTAAATAACCGCATAAATTAATATTTAATGTTTTTTTAATTAGATATTTCCTCTATTGAGCATGTGTTCACCATTATGACAAATTTTCACCGTGCAATTCCGACATTGTTTTGGCACACTCTGTCCTACTGTGCGTTGGTTCAAACATGCTTTTTTTGCGATTGTCTTCGCTCGGTGGAATCTTTTTTCTGTCAAAAGAGTAATTGGTTGCTGTTTCTGTTGATTGTCAAGTGCAACAGCGTTAAGTAAGACTTGTCATCAAGGATGACCAGTATTCCTTGAAAATTGCGATAAAGAATTTTTGCTTTTGTTTTAATTACTAGATATAGAGGACATTTTTTTAGTTTTTCAGTCTAGAGGGGTGACACCAAAAATTTACCGCTCCGGGTGACACCAACCTTGGCGACGCCACTATCTCAAAACACGCACTTTACTTAAAAATTCAAGTAATAAAAAAAAATTATGCCTACTTTTTTACGAAACATTTAAAAGCAAGGATGAAGAGCTTTATTTTTTATCGAGTTCGATTTTTTCTATTGCTTTTTAAAATAACTTTCAAGCTTTGAAAGAAACTTTTTTTTCCAACTTCTTATGGCAATTTTATTTTTTTATTTTATTTATTTCTAAAATAAGACAATATTTGCCTTATCACTAGGCCCCGACGTGCTTTTATCAGCAAGCGTGTACAACCGTCAAAAGGTAAACATATAATTACTTTGTACCGTTTAAAAATTATATACAAATTTTTACAAGTATGTTAAGATCAATTACTTATCTATAACCAAAAGAAAATCGTAAAAATAAAAAAATAATAATAATCACACCTAAAAACTAAAGATAAGCTAACTAAAGATAGGTAATTTAAAGAAAATTTAAATTAGAAACAAGACAATAAGATTATTGAAAAATTAAAAAAGAATAAAAAAAGAATCTTAAAAAGAATTTATTTCATTAAGACCAAATAGTGCATTTTAGGTTGATCATAATTTTTTTTTTTTTTTGCGTTCAGCATTTACCGAGAGCAGACGCGCTTTTGCCGCGAGGATAACTTTTTATTAAACTTTCTATCTACCAAATTTAATTTTGCTAAACTGAAAAATGGCCAATAATATTACTTTATCGCAGTACAAAGAATTATTAAAGATGCACGAAAATACCTTGATAAAAATTTTCAATGAAAGATTTCAAAAAATTGAAACCGAACTAATATTTTTCAAAGAAGAGAATAAACAACTTAAACTAGAATTAAATGAAGCAAACAAAACTATGGGTTTCCTAAGTGAAAAATACGAAGAAATCAGAGTGAATTGATAAATGACAAGATGGCTAAGTTGGAAGACAGAAGTCGTAGAAATAATCTTAGGTTCGAGGGAATAGACGAAACGGAGGGAGGAAAAACTTGAGAAAGTTGTGAGGAAAAAATTAAGTTATTAATTAAAGAAAAACTAAGTATTAATAGGGATATACAGATAGAAAGAGCTCATCGTACAGGAAAGAAAGAAAACGAAAACACGAAAAGAAAAAGAACAAACGTTGCAAAATTTTTCAACTTCAAAGATCGAGAAAGCATTTTGTCAAAATATAAAAAGATGAGTCTATTAGGTAAATTTGCTAAAGTGGTATACAATAAGCTAATCACAAAGTCTTCCTATTAGATTTTTATATTGTCGTACATCATTTATTTCCAGAATTAACTAAATTTAAAATGGGTACCGTTAATAATGAATTTGAAAAAATATCCAATCCAGGTACAAATTATTTTGATGGAATTAATTCCCCAGAATTTGGAAGCTCTCACCTTTATCCTAATAAAGTTAGCAGTTTTTTAAAAAACGACAGTAAAAGTGATTATCTTAACGTAGTCCACGTAAATATACGGAGTTTAAAAAAGAACTTTGAAAATTTTTTAAATTTTATTTGTGATACGGAAAATTCTTTCAACTTAGTTTAACTGAGACCTGGTGTTTGCAAGCAGATTTAACTGAGACCTGGTGTTTGCAAGCAGATTTTGAACTCAAACCTCCATTTTCCAGGTTTTGATCCAATAATTTTAGAACGAAATACTAATAAACGAGGTCGAGGAGTTTTATTTTTTGTTAAAAATAATCTTGTTTATAATATTAGAAGCGAAATGTGCGTTTCTGACGAAAACAGCGAGATTTTAACAATAGAACTTATCAATAAGCGTTCAAAAAATATGCTCATAAGCTGTTGCTACAGGCCACCTGCTGGAAGAACCGAAAACCTTTGTAACTTTATACTAAAAAATATAATAATGGAAAGCGATCTTAAAAAGAAAAAGTTTACTTGATAGGAGATTTTAACATAAACTCCTTCGAATATTATGAAAATCAAAATACTAGAAATTTTTTTAACGATCTGTTCGAAACTGGAACAATACCATTAATTAATCGACCGACCAGAATCACAAACCATTCATCATCATTAATTGACAACATCTTTACTACTGACTTTTTTAATAAGTCGCTTAAAAAGGGTATAATAAAAACAGATCTTTCCGATCATTTCCCAATATTTTTCTCATTAGAATTAAACGTAAAAAAAGAGAACCATGTAAAAATCTCAATAAAAAAACGGCTTTTCAATATTAATAATTTGAATTCCTTTAGAGAGCAATTATCACTTATAAACTGGGACTACATCAATTTTAATGATGATATTAACATAATCTATGATCTATTTTTCAAAACTTTTTATGCAGTTTATGATTCAAATTTTCCTCTACGTGAAACAGTCTTAAAAGCCAAAGATATCATCTCCTTGGATTACAAAAGGTCTCATAAAATCCTCAAAAATTAAACAGAAGTCATATGTTAAATATCTCATTATATGTTAAATACCTAAAATCAAAATTAGAAAAACACAAACAAAATTATAACTTAAATTATAAAAACTTATTTGAAAAGCTTCGTAAAAATTCAAAAAAAAATTACTACTCAAACTTGCTAAATAAATACAACCATAACTCAAAAAGGGTCTGGCATGTCATTAAAGAGGTGACTGGAAAACATAAAACAAATAAAAATTCACTGCCAGATATAATAAAAATTAAAAACAAGTTATTTAATGATCCAAAAAAATTGCATTCGAGTTAAACAAGTTTTTTCGGAACAAAATTATGCAATAATATTCCATACATTAAAGAAAAAGCTATTAATGAATATGAAACTCTATTAAGCTCAACTCTAAATAATACTGAGTAAACTTTTGATTAATTTGAAGTTTCTTTC